TGAATAATTACTTTATTATCTACTTATTAGTACTGCTTAAGCCAGCAAATCTGAATAGAATTGTCCAGTCCTCATCCAGCACTTCTTAGTTTCTGGCACTTATTATTTATTCATTTATTACCATGTGCATCACAATTCATTCTGATAGATTTAAAAGATATTGATATTGAATATAATTCTGTTGTCAGGCGTGGTGACACATGCCTTGAAACCCAGCACTCAGGAGGCAGAAGCAGGCGAACTGCTGTGTTCAGATCAGCTTGATCAGCAAATGAATTCCAGGACAGCCAGAGTTACACAGAGAAACCTTGTCTTGAAAAGCGCGTGCGTGCACGTATGTACACACACATAGAAACACACATAGTATGTACACACATACTATGTTTATAACACATAACTGGAATAAACAGCTTTAAATTTAATAACAAGGTGGAATACATGAATGAGTTATTAGTCACAGTCTTATTTCCAGTCAGTTTTTATTGATGCTAGTAGAATAAAAGTGTTTTCAGTAGAGAAAATAATAATTCTAGTAATATAATCTCCGATATCCATAGGCACTCATATGGGATTTCTTCCTTCCCTTTTTACCCAAGAATTATTGACATAATGAGCCTTTCAGAACATGATTTCCAGAAGTATTTGGGTCAGAAAAGAATGGTATAAAACCACTGCTACTGAAGTTATACAAGAAGCACTGTTTAATAATTTAATTTGCTAGACTTAGCATTTTCAGTATTGTATAAAGAATTGCTTTTAGCTGGTAAGAGCTTTTTCTGGTTATATGTTGACAGTATTTTTATAATGTAACTATACACACACACACACACACACACACACACATATATATATATATATATATATATATATATATATATATATATAAATAGTTTGGGAGCTTATCAATCTCCCCTCTCCCCTTTTAAGACAGTGTCTCACTATGTAGCTTAATTGGCCTGGAACTCACAGAGATCTGCCTGCCTCTGCTGGGACCAAAGGTATACGCCACCACATTCATCTGAAGTTGTGAATCTTGATTGACACTGATTGTTGAGCACCTAAATTAGCAAAGGGCAATTCTGGATGGGTCTGAGAACATTTACAGAAAAGATTAACGAGAGGGAAAGATTCCCTTTGAAAGTAGGTGGTACCATCCCACACACCGGGGGCCCAGATGGAATAAAGTGGGGGGAAAGGGGAGGGCTAGTGAGCTAGGCATGCTTTCTCTCTGCTCTCTGGCTTCTGTGGTATGTGTGTTCTCCTGTGCCACATCCCCTCTCCCATGTCATAGTGGACTGAGACTTCTGAAACCAGGAGCAAAGTCAATCCTTCCCCCATTAAGTTGTTTTCTCACACTAACAGAGGCCAATATATAGAGACCACCAGTTCCCAAATTAAACCAATCACAAGCTACTGCTAGCTTTAACAGAAACTAGGAATTCAGAATAATAGATACTTTGGGGATAGAGTAATGCTCATATTGTTAATCCAATTTGTTTAAAATTCATTCTACCATTGCAAACTCAATATATATATATAAAATTTGAGTCTATATTTTTCTTTTAAGATCATTTAGTTGGCGTGGCTGGAGAAAGGAAAGCAGATTGATGTTTCACATCTATTTTAACCCTTCCTAAAGGGCCATTCTTTACTGGAGAAGTCGAAAAGGTTAAAAAAAAAAAAACCCTCTGCATTTTTCAGAAAGTTTTCTAAGTAGGATTGGGAAGAATCAATATGATTGGCAAGGAAGAAGAGAAGCAGAATTAATTCTTATGCTGCCTTTGGTTTTTCTCACCAAAGAAAAGGCAATAATGGCACATAAGCATCCGACTTTTCCATGGTAATGTGATGGGATGGTCCAGCGTGTGATCACTAGTTTCGTGGATGTTGACAATTTAGCCAGGCGGCATCAGTTGTGCTGCTGTGTATCATGTCAGGTGTGATGTGGCATGAACTCAGAAGCAATAAGCAGTCTTGCTGTTCACTGGTGTGCTACTTGTGGAGGCTTCTGTGAGGTGGCAGTTTTGTAATTGTGGTGACTTCCTGATTGCATTGCCTATATGTTCTTAGAGACTGACATTATTATCAGGTTCCTAATTTTCAATTTGCTTCATGATTTTAGAAACAGTGGCTTAATTCCACACTGTGTCTGTGAGCGTGGTTTCCCATTCCCCTTCCCCCCCAATACACGGTTTTATCATTCCTCCCAAGATTCTGTAAGCTGATAAATGCCTGATGGTGGATGAGTTTTGTTCTGAACTAGTGATTACAAATTGTTGTGCTTTATACCCAATCCTAGATTAATACAGTCCTTCATTAACCATAGAATTAGTGAAGTTTTATTTTAACATCAGACGTGTTCCATAATCAGATTCCCTTTTGCTAACGTTAACATATTTTTCAATATAAGAAAAGTGTTCCATATTTCAGCAGTGTTTCGTTTTTACCGCATATCTTTGCAGGCAGTTTTCTTCATATTTCCTCTTTTACACAATCTCTAAATTTTATGTACTACCGATAAGATAAAGTTTGGCATTTTCTTCATTTATGGTTTTCTGTAGCCACTTTGAATTAACAGATACTTAAAGATGATCCAAACATAGGACATTGTGTGGCATTTCCCCTGTGACAACACCGGGAAAATCTTGTTATTTATGTGCAAGGCCAGTATGATCACACACAGTGATTGTTGCCATCACAGGGTTCAAAATTAAACTCTGTGAACTGCCATTCCTGTAAGTCAGGCAGGTAAAGCGCTCCAGCTGGTTGGTTTTGATGACGTGGAGGATTCCAAGTCCTAGTGCATTTCCCTCCCTTTTTGCTTTCTGAGCTGTAAACTTGATGAGGTCTCTAGAAAACAGATGCATTCATCCTGGAGATGGTCTCCTCTCACCTCATCCCTTGGCCAACTTCAGCATTTTGATGACAAAAGACCAATGGCTGTCCTGTTCAGTCATCTTCAGTATGTGGCCTTTCTGAAAGTTTCACATAGGATATCCAAGAGCTTCATACTCTGCAGGGGACGGAATATTTTCATCTGCGTACAGGTCTTCAGGTTTGGCTGCATCAGCACAGCATGGAGAGAGGTGGCGGGAGTCATCTTGCAAGTCATCGTGGATGGCATCACTGACCAAAGCGACCGAACCTTCTGTATTAGTGATGTTCTCTTTGTCTTTAGTAGCTGGGAGACTCAAAGATTCACTGTCAATTCTGTTTATTCTCCTGGAGTTCAGAGATTGCTTATGCTTTTTGGTTACCAAAGTTTCCAAGAAAAAAATCCGTTTTTATCTTAAACATTTCATCTGATTCTCTAGAGTAGATCCACTCTCAACTGATTCTTCAGCAAACGGTGCCTGCACATTTGAACAATTCAGCATCATATACTTCCATTTGGTCACAGGTCTTTCTTGTTCAAAATACCCACAAAGCACAGTGTTGTGTTTGAGGACAACAGTCCCAAAATTGTTTCCAACATGGGAGAAAGACTCTATTTCAGTAGCCAGGATCAGCTGACTCCTCTCTGAGGTTCATCCAGTGGATACAAGTTGCCTGGATTCCGCAGCTTTCCATTGGAGAAGAGGATTAATAAATGCAGCTCCTGCTCTTTAGGTTTGCCGCAGCTCTGCTGCCCTCTGGCGGATCTGGCCGGCAAGCCTGGCAGACGTCGGCGCAGCCACCAGGACGGCTCTTAGAGAACACCATCATTCTAAAATAATCTCCAATAAAGAAAAAAATATTTCTTTATAGGTATGAGTGTTTTGTCTGCATGTATGCAAGTGCATCACCTGCATGCTTGGTGCCAGCTGAGGTCGGAGGAGGGCGTCGGATCCCCTGGAACTGGAGCTACAGATGGTTGGTTGTGAGCTGGTGTTCGGGTGCTGGGAGCCGAATTTTGATCCTCTAAGAGTGCGGCAAACGCTTTTGACCACAGTGACATTCATTTACTCATTATTTGTTTGTTTTTAAAGGGCATTTTTTCCCTCTCAGGATATAGTTTAGCTACAGGCTGCAACTGTGTGACTCTAAGTGACCCAGAAGTGGTACGGGATAGTTTTCAGAACATCGGTTTATTTTGTTTTCCAAACTGGGCCATTAATTTTGTGTAAGACTGAAGCAGGCACTTTCCCTTAATAAGTCGCTCTGCTAATACATACATACATACATACATACATACATATTCATGCAAATTACTAAGTCTGCAATGATAAATAATTTCTACATACTTGAAAAAAAGATAGACGACTTTATTATCGTTATCATTTTCAGAGATAATGTATAGATAGATGAGCTGGTTTGGCTGCAGCTGATGAATCTGTGTAATCTGTTCAAGATGTCTGTAATTTCTACCTCTAATCCTTTTTCTTTGGTTTTTTCGAGACAGACAGGGTTTCTCTGCGTATCCCTGGCTGTCCCGGGACTCGCTTATGTAGACCAGGCTGGCCTCAAACTCACCGAGATCCGCCCGACTGCCTCCCGAGTGCTGGGATTAAAGACATGCGCCACCACCTTCCGGCTCTCGCTCTCTAATTCCTCCTACTATTGTCTATTAAACCGTAATAGAACGTAACAAACGTATTATACATTTATCCCAAGGATCACACGTGCTCGATCTGCTGCTTTCCAAGTAAAAGCAGCCATGTATGTGCACAGCAAGCTGTGCTTGAAGAAAACCGAAGACTGGAGCAGGAGCGTTAACCCTAAGGGAGGGCGGGGCGCCGGGCGGGAGGCGGGGCACCGGGCGGGAGGCGGGGCGGGAGGCGGGGCGGAAGGCGGGGCTGACGGGCGGAAGTCGTAAGCGGGAGGCGGGAAGACGGGCGAGAGGCGGGGCGGAAGGCGGTGAGACAGGCGGGAGGGAGAGACGCTCTGCCGGTCGGCAAGGCGCTGGGTGGGAGGGCGGGGGGAACCTGCGAAAGGCGGGCTGATAGGTGGAGTGACGGGCTAGGGGGCGGGATGAAGGGCGGGACTCGAAATAACGCAAATAACGGCCAATGGGCTATTGGCTGCGCGGTGCGTTCTGCGCACGCGCAGCAGTTTTTGAATCCTCCGCCTCTGCTGTTTATTTAGGGCCAAGTCTGCCGTGCGGATCCGGCGGCTCCTGGGCCGCCTCCGGCCGCCGTTTGCCTCTCGGCCTGCGGGGTTTATTCTTTTTTCCACCCTCCTGGAACCTTGGCCTGCGGGGGCTTCCCTCTCAGGCCTCAGTCGGGCATCGTGGGCCGGAAACATGGCCTCCTTCCATCTGGTAAGTGCCGGTCTGGGCCCGGGCTGCGAGCTGAAGCGGCGGTCCTGGGGTGGAGCGGTGCAGACGCGGGGCCAGTGCTGTGAGCGGCTGGTCAGGGGTGGGTCAGGATGGGTGCTGTGAGCTGCTTGTCAGGGGTGGTCGGGATGGGTGCTGTGAGCAGCTGGTCAGGGGTGGTCAGGATGGGTGCTGTGAGCGGCTGGTCAGGGGTGGTCAGGATGGGTGCTGTGTGCAGCTGGTCAGGGGTGGTCAGGATGGGTGCTGTGTGTAGCTGGTCAGGGGTGGTCAGGATGGGTGCTGTGAGCTGCTTGTCAGGGGTGGGTCGGGATGGGTGCTGTGAGCTGCTTGTCAGGGGTGGGTCAGGATGGGTGCTGTGTGCTGCTGGTCAGGGGTGGGTCAGGATGGGTGCTGTGAGCTGCTTGTCAGGGGTGGTCAGGATGGGTGCTGTGAGC